TACTGATCGACATTCTGTACTATACAACGCTACATAAAAGAAAAAAATATTACCTTGGCTTTTTATACAAACTTGCAATGTACTTAGTTACTGCTAAAAAGAGCACTGATCATGTCATATTTATCATTGATATGAACGTATAGGTTTAGTTATTACTTATTTCACAAGATCTTGACTAAAATTCTCATTCATTCTACTAGCACTATTCCTTGCTTTTTAAATGTAACTAGTACATATGTAAATGCCACGTACTTAATCATTCACAGAGCAACGCGATGTCTACTCTATAATCCATAAATGATGCAATATATATATAGATACTGCTGGTAGCACTAATTACTTCTGAAGTGTTATGCATCGCAAACGATCAACCTGTAGTACCTCCAGTACGCGCAGTATGTTTATCCAGTAGCGCATACGCGATGAAGGGATGATAATGATACTTGGTATGGAACATTTAATTACTGTGCATCTCCTGTTCCTTATAATATACTCAAGTACACATATTACGTAGTCCATTTCGTAAAATTTTGATCCACACGGCTGCTGAAGATCGGGTGCCACACGAAAAGTCGAACAACCATATGTGAAATTAATAAATGATTTAGAGAATACTATAATGAAAAAAGAAGCGATCGGCCAAGTAACTACAATATGCCCTGTACTCCAGTCTGCATACTGTGATTGTTCAAACATAGTAATACAAATTTATGCATATATATTAATAACACATATTATGAATGACACATGTTAACTACAAGCTGAATAGCATATATTCCACGCTGTAGCGCCATTACCGACAAACCCTATACGATAACCCAAACTACTACTATACAGAATTTCAGTGCAGCTTTATGTCAATATATGATAAACTATCAAGCTACAACTGATAAATTATTACAGCATTAAAGCCAATTTGCGTAATAAATTATTAGCAGCTTAAGCGAATACATACGCAATGAACAGAACAATAACAAATTCATTATAACCGATATCGTAAAAATAGTTTATTTTGACTACATGTCATATACTGAAACAGTAATACTACAGATTGTGCAACGTACAGTGGATTAATCTATTATAGAGAAATAGCTTCATATTATACATACTCGATGTAGTGCTGACAAACCACACAACATAATACATGCAGCAGACTTTCTCAGACCAGCTGTGACTGAATATGACACATCAAGATATTACTAAAAAAAATTTACAGTATATACTAGATCGCACTGTTTGAAAAAGTCAGCCTGATGTTATGTCATAATCACTCAGAATCATGCTGAAAAATTGCACATTAGCTTCTGTTATATTGCAGAGTTCGCGAACATTTAATCGAGCATATATAGTTTGAGTTTGACATATTATCAAGCTATCTCTCGCTAACTGTTCAATCTAATATAAATTGTAGTGTACCCGCACTCTGACAGTATACTATATACAGTCAGCATTGACAAACCGTACTATAATAAATACCACACAGTTGTTGCGCAGTGCTTTGACTGAATACGACATAATATCAACACTGGTGAATTATACAGTAAGGTAGAGTTTACAGTTAGTAAACACAAACCTTAACAGTGCACTCAAAGTTGTTTGAAAAAACGATGCAACATAACGAAAACCCCATAGTTTTTCACCACAATTTTGACCATAGTAATACATTCGATCAACCTACCATTTAATAACTATCCAATCCAGCATGTACTATGTAGTTTAACAGCAATAAATTCACACTGTGCTATGCGTCAGGCTATATAGTTAGTAAATAGCAGATTGATAATACATATAACACATGCTCAAAATACTAGTGAAAACAAAAATATAACAAGAACTGCATAGTTTATCAGCACCAAGAATATATATGATATATAATAATATAATACTATTTACTCGCCATGCTATATACGCTAGATTGTACAGTCAGATATTCAAATTAGTACTGACAAAAAATATAACAAATACTGCATAATCTATTAGTACCACCTTAATTATGTTCCATAACACAAAACGGCCATTCACCCACTATGCTAGACTGTGGTTACTAAATAGCACCTTGATAGCATACATCACATATGGTCATACTAGAAGTGATAAACTATACAGTGCTAGTAACATTGACGAGTTTTTCAGTATTTTGGTAAAAACTATATAATGTACTAGATTTATGGTTAGTACATGGTTAAGTCATAATATTACTACCAAAGTAGTAGTACTGAAAATCTAAAAAACAGTACTACTCCGTAGTGTATCACTATCATTTCGAGCATGTGTTATACACCATTAACTGCCATTTCTTAATTATAGAGTCTAATAAACGACATTTTTGATATTGTGTAGAATGCTCAATTGCGTACGAAGCAAATAACAGTTTCATGCTGTATGCCACATATAGTGAAAGCAGTGCTGATAAACACTACAACACTGCGAACACTGCATAGTTATTCGACAGCACTTTGATATTACTGATAAAGTAAACTGCAAAGGAGATTTACCTGCCCTGCGGTATGGACCATTATCACTGGTGTAATGAACATTGTAATCAAATTGACATACAAATCAGGAGTACTGTCGAAAAGGCTATAGAACGGATGAGAAACTACGACTGATTAGACAGCCCACGCCAGAAACTAACGCCAGTAAGAAACCTCGCTTCAGTTAAACACAGTGAAACCTGTGTAATTTCAAACTGCTTAAGTCATATTTTTGGAATGATTTGGATTTTAAATACGAATAAAATCTGCTTGCGGTACCATCAGATTTAAGGTATGTGATGAGTTAGCGATTTACGCTTACAATTACACTCACAGTAGGATCAGAGGGAAGAAAAGCATTCACCGTATATAAAGTAGACATTGACTTGCGTGTAAACCTTAAAAGCACTGACTTTACATGCAACTTAAATAGTCAAATATCAGTCAAAAGTATAAAACAGTGTTTAAACCAGTAATTAATACGTCCATTTCAAGCAGGACATGTCGAATGAGACGCATCTCAATTAATGTGTCCAAAGTAGACCGCAGTACAGACGAAAAGAAAGACAATACTTCATGAAGTCACAAGTGGTGAGTAACTGCTGCTTCTTTGCTGTGATACACCTTTAATGCAGGAATTAAGAAACGACAAGCAACACATCGTGGCAAGAAGATGCCCAGAAATGAAACAGGAAGACATAAGTCATGGCCGATCCCAAGCCCGGC